TCCTCTGCTGCTGCTCTTCATCCTGCTGGCGTACAGACGGGTACATCATCATCATCATCTGTCTGCTTCCTCTCTCACTATGACCTGCAACTTCCTGTTTCTGTTCAGCTTTATCTGTAGGAAGGAGAGGAGCTGGGAGACTTCAAGCACCCTGAACGGAGTTAGAGGGCTAAAGGTCAAAGGGCAGAGATTGTTGAACTGAGTCAGGTGAGGAGAACACCTGAGCGATTAGCTTCAACTAAATCCTGCACTGGGTGGCGTCGGTGTTTCAACTCTGGCAGAAACATTAACATGCGCTGATCTTCCAGTGAGCCAATTGCTGGGTTTCAGTCATGTGATCCGATGATGCGTGATATTCAGAGAGAAGGAGCTTAGGAAATAGGAAATAGCGCCCCCTTCACTTCCGGACTGCAGTGGTCCCGTTTCCAAATAAGGTATGAGACAGTGGTCTGTCTCGCCCCTTCCTGTTTGCCGCAGCAACTCCAGGTGGACCTGAGTTCAGATGGAGGACAGGAAGTGAAAACAAAGCTAAATTCATCACAAGTAGCTAACGCCCTGAATAGGCTAAAGCAGACGAGGCATCTAGAAAAAATATGTGTATATTTAGGATATAATTCGTATTGTCTCTGAAAAAGACTTCTCTTATAACATGGAGGTTAGCGTTAGCGTTAGCTGCAGGCCTCATATTCCACCGTGAGGCAGAAGAACGTTTCCAAAAGCCTGGAGAATAAAATCATTTAGATTCACGTTGGGTCAAATTTAAAGAAGCATTAAATGGCCGTCGACTGGTTTCTGCCGGGTGACTGATTTTAAGTAATCAGTCTATGATAACGATGCTACCGCTAACAACAAGCTAACCCTGCTTAGAAAGACGAGCATTCATATGTAAGGTCAGATATTATTTCTGCCGTGGCTTGGTTGTCCTCAGAGCGCTAACGCTGTTTGCCGCTAGCTCAGTGCCGAGTCCCAGACAGAAACTAGAATGTTCATTCATGGTAAAGAAGCTAAATAAATGAAACGTAAGCTACCCAGCCACACAGACTTTGACTGTTCCCCACACGGTTCATGTCTGGGTTTCTGCAGATGGGAGCCAACAGTCGACCCACATTGGACCTGAATCCTACAACGACTCAACACCAACGTACAACTCCTGCATGAAGCGGGTTTACAGAAGCTAAATAAATGATTTAGCAGGAGATCCAGGCTCAGAGACATAACGTAGGGTTGGTTGTGCTGTGGAGGCACAACCCAGTATGGAGGCCTTCGTCCTCGACGCGCCCGTCGCGAGTTCGACTCCTTACCACGTCTTCCCCTCTCTGTCCCTGCCTTCCTGTCAGAACACCTTCACCAGCCTACTTTCAAAAAAATACAGGCCACTTTTCTCCTCTTTTCATTAAGTTTTCATAATGAACTCCCTTGTGACTGAAACCTTTGAAAAGGTCACAAAACCTCATCACAAGGGCGTTAGCTACTTGTGATGAAATTGGCTTTGTTTTCACTGGAGAAATCCACTTCCTGTCCTCCATCTGCACTGGGTGCTGCATCATCTGAAACCCAGCAATAGAATTTCAGGATGACCATCATTTTCCAACATGGCTGCCATTTATTTGAGGCACTTGAAGCAGTTATTGCCATAAAATGTTTCCCATTTTCATAATTTGGATGAGCTTTCTGTCACATTTTTTTAGTCATCCAGTTTATAAAACATTAAAGTGATAAAATGCAGCAGAATCAGAAACAGAGGATATCTTAACGTTAGAGTAATGGTGGCAAACAGTCAGGTGAGATACTGTGGCTGAGTCCACAACATTTCAATTTAATAATTGTTAAATTGTTAAATTTAACAATTATTAGTGCTATCGCTGCAGCCATTAGCAAGAGAGAACAAAACATTCGTTCCACAACCGTCGCCTCTGAGCAACACACACAAAAAACATTAACATAATTCATTTACACTCACTATTTCATCAGAATTCCACATTAGCGTTAGCTTCTGCTAAGTTTTTTAATATTTTAAATGTGCTAAGTGGTTAACGTTAGCTTCTGCTGATAATTTTTGTATTTGGTGGTTTAGCATTAGCTTCAGCTATAATATGTGTTTGAGTCTACTGATGGTTCTGATGGTTCTGATCACAACCATCAGAACCAAGCTGATCATCACCTTTTGCTCCACCTGCAGAGATGTGACTCCGCCCCTCCTCCAGTGACCATCATGGTCGAGTCGAATCCATCTGCTGAATCTGGAACCGGATAACCCCCCCTCCTTCTGCCCCCCCTCCTTCTGCCCCCCTCTCCCTCTGCCCCCCCTCTCCCTCTGCCCCCCCTCTCCCTCTGCCCCCCCCTCCTTCTGCCCCCTCTCCCTCTGCCCCCCCTCTCCCTCTGCCCCCCCTCCTTCTGCCCCCCTCTCCCTCTGCCCCCCCTCCTTCTGCCCCCCCTCCTTCTGCCCCCCTCTCCCTCTGCCCCCCTCCTTCTGCCCCCCTCCTTCTGCCCCCCCTCTCCCTCTGCCCCCCTCTCCCTCTGCCCCCCCTCCTTCTGCCCCCTCTCCCTCTGCCCCCCCTCTCCCTCTGCCCCCCTCTCCCTCTGCCCCCCCTCCTTCTGACCCCTCCTCCCTCTGCCCCCCCTCCTTCTGACCCCTCCTCCCTCTGCCCCCCCTCCTTCTGCCCCCCCCCTTCTGCCCCCCTCCTTCTGACCCCTCCTCCCTCTGCCCCCCCTCTCCCTCTGCCCCCCCTCCTTCTGCCCCCCTCTCCCTCTGCCCCCCTCTCCTTCTGACCCCCCCTCTCCCTCTGCCCCCTCCCTCTGCCCCCCCTCCTTCTGCCCCCCCTCCTTCTGCCCCCCTCCTTCTGACCCCTCCCTCTGCCCCCCCTCTCCCTCTGCCCCCCCTCCTTCTGCCCCCCCCTCCCTCTGCCCCCCCTCCTTCTGCCCCCCCCTCCCTCTGCCCCCTCCGTCTGACCCCTGACCCCCCCCCTCCCTCCCCCACAGCCTCATCCGCCTCCAGAGGATGAAGCTGCAGAGACTGACCTCTGCTCTGTCCACTTCCTCTCCCACATTGAGCCAAAGCTGAGCCCCTCTGACCTGGTACCATGATGACCCGGTCACATTGACCTTGACCCCTGACCTGGACCGTCCTCTGTGGAATCAGAGTCACTTCCTGCTCAAACCAAAACTTTTTTTTTTAATTTGGTGTCGTTTCCGTTGATCACCAACTGTGCCGAGTTCCCGCCGGTCCGACCAGAACCGGGCCTCAGAACCACCTGAGCAGGTAGCGGACCTGCCGGGCCTCTGGGGCCAGAACCAAAGGGATTACCACGTTCTGGCCAGCAGGTGGCAACAGAGTTCTCTACCTCAGGCTTTGACCTCTGACCTCCTGCTGCTCAGGCCAAACTACCTCACAACCAAAAGCTCCATGATTGTCCCTTGACCTCTGACCTCTAAGCTGCTGCAGAGGTGAAGCAGGACAGTTTGGACATGGTAGACGCCTCTCTGTGGGACGTCCTCACCCTCTCTTTATGAACACATTAAGATGGGCGTGGCCACTTCCTGTCGGCCATGTTTCAGCGTACCTGTGATGTGTTGGAGCCAAATATTAACGCGCTGAATGGCGTCCAAAGAGGAAGTTCTGAACCAGATTCGACGAGTTTCTATTGGACGACGAGTCCAAACGACCAAATGAGAGACAGATGGAGACACCTGCAGCTCCACCTTCACCTCTGACCTTTGAGATTCATATGGAGAACCACAGAAGGCCTGGGAGTTCACCTAGTTAGGTTACAAGTCTTTATGATGACCCTTGACCCCTGAGGACAGCCTCCAGTAAAACATGGACCTGTCCCTTTAAAGTCCCAGCGTAGCACTGCAGGACACGAGTTCCCCGCTAAGCCCCGCCCCTTTGTCCTCAGGGTCACATGTCCGCTCTGCCAGGAGCTTCTTGCTGACTCGTGTCGGTTCTGAAGCGGCCCGGTTTCATGCAGAGCGAAGCCTTTAATTGTTCTGGTTTCTAAACTTTTCTTCTGTCAGCTAAGTTTCGGTCGTCGCCATCGGCGGCGGACAGGAAGCTCTGCCAAATGATGTGAAGACGATTCCCGTGGGTCCAGAACTCGGACCCGTTTTACTCTTTGTAGATGAAAACTGCTTCCAGCTGGAGATGGACCAGAACCAGAACCCTCCGGCCGGAGCAGCTCTAGAAGCTGTAGATCTTAGCGATTTGAGGCTAGAACCAATGATGAAATGCTTTAATGGTTTTCTAGAGAACTCGGAGCTTTAACTGATTCTGATGGAGATTTTGGTCTTTTTTGAATAAATTTTCTGGAATGTTTGAATATTTTTCTTCTCTCTGTTGTTTAGACACCAAATAAAAGTTATTCATGTAGAAACTGGACTGAAGTTCTGCTTCTTTTCACACTGAGCCCGGTTCTGGTCGGGTCCAATGAGATGGTCTACAATAAATAAGTTTCAGACGGTCTCTGTTTCTCACTGCGTGGTTTGAAGTGATCTGCTGTGGGAAACTCTTGAAGCGTTTCTGATTTTATATTTTAGTATTTCTAATGCGATGCTTCAAAATATAATAAATAAAACGTTGCAAACAGACGTTCAAGAACAACAGACGGTTCATGGCTGCTCCTGCCTATTCTCGCTGAAGAGCCATCTTGGGGCGGCGGCGGCCATCTTGGGGCGGCGGCGGCCATCTTGGGGATCTCGGGAGTTTACATTTCACAAGTAAGATGCACATATCGCTGTTTATAATATTACCAAACAGTTTTTGTGTCCACCAGTAAAAAGCAGATAATATTGGAGAGTGTTTGGTGTAAGATTTTGGAAATCTGAACAAGTTTGAATTATTGCCTTATATTATGCACACAAGGTGGCAAAGACTGTTATTTATGTGTAATTGTTTTAGTTTTAATGTTTCATAAAGACGATGTGAGGAAGAGGAGGGAGAGACGAGTCACTGATGAAGGTGTGGAGCTCCTAGAACATGAATAAAACATGTACAGGCATTATGTACATACGCATATTTAATACATATTATTCAGTATCAATCATGATTGAATTGTTTATTGTTAATTACGGAGCCCCTTAAGGGACACGGGGACGTTTTCCTTTTGCGTTCCCTCGCAGTGACGTTCTGATCAGTTCATGTGACTGAATACTGTCAGCCTTTCTCATCATACTTTCTGCTATAATAGCAGGTTTTTCCATGGATGTTAATATGAAATATGTGAAGTTTTATATCTTCCCATAAGTAGGAAAGAAGAGAAACTATATCTGGACTATTATTACTGCGGGTAATAAATCACCTGACAGGTCTTCTATCAGTTTTTGCACCAATCGGTTCATAAACACTGTGGCTGTGTTCAAACCAGACCAGCAAATATTGCAGAAATGTTATTACGAGAGAACGCAAAAGGAAACTTCCCATGTCCCCTCCAGGGCTCCGTAGTTACCCGGACAGCAGGTGGCGCTGCTGGACTGCATGTCAGGTTCTAAATTGGTTATCAGCCAATCAGAGCACAGGATTAATGTTCAATATTGTGACCAATCAGAATCACAGAAACATTTTATTCGGATTCAGCAAACAAAACCTCGAAGGAATAAAAGCAGAGCGCGTCCCGTGGTTCCGTTCTGGGCTGTGATTGGTCAGCGGGGCGCCGCCTCGTCCTCGCCGCTGTGCGGACCCCGCCGGGCGGACAGGCGGTCCGGCGACTCGCGGCTTCTCGTGCGGCGGCAGAAGGCGGCCAGGTCGGCCAGGTCGGCGCGGAACGACGGCGTGTAGAAGCCGTAGATGACGGGTCGCAGCAGGAGTTCAGGTTCCCGAACACAAACAGGGCGTGGTGGACGTACTCAGGTGTGACCCGCAGCATGCCGGGCTGGAACCAGTACCAGATCCCCAGCAGGTAGTACGGCGTCCAGCACACGACGAAGGACAGCACGATCACCACCGTCATCTTCAGCGTCTTCATCCGCGCCTTGGGGATGACGTCAGTGCCGCTGCGCCGCAGGGGCGACTCACCTGCTGGCAGGGGAGGAGCTGTTCAGCAATATGAAAATATGCTTTCCCTCTCTATTTTCCTCAAATGTTATCCTATTGATATGAAACTCATACCAGCAATTAAGGGAACAAATGTGATCATGTAGAAAAAGCTATTTCACTCGTAACTGTTTGTGTTTTTAAGCTTGGGTGATGCACTTTTTGGCAAAATGAATTTTGAGCTGCCGATGTTTGCATGCCCTGTTTTTCACCTCAAAAGTGTCGCACAGATTTGAAAGTCACTCTAGTAGCTCAGAGCATACGCGTCATTGTCTAGAACATTTCATATAACACATTACTATCCTAATTCTCCAAGTTGCAGGACATGCATTTTCTGGCAAGGAACATTTGGAGGCCCCTGCTTGACCTTCCTCACCTCTAAGACGACTATTTGGTCTTAGACATGCATACTTCACAACACAGTAAGAAATATTCAATAAGAACTCGTCCATCCTCTTCCGCTTATCGGGGATCAGGTCACAGGGATAGCAGCCCAAGAAGGGAGGCCCAGACTTCAGAGTGGGGCCCCAGTGACCCGCATCCGGGCGAGGAAACACGAAATCGAAAGGTTTTCTTCATCATTGGAGTCTTCAGGCTGCACTTTGTCTGGTGCTGTCTGCCTTGGGTGGCCCTTCCCTGGGCATGAAGCACCAGACAGCAGGCGGATGATGGAGGGGCCTCCATCATCATGAGGTGGAGCCAAAGGACAGACATTAAAAACCCACTTTACTCAAATCCAACTCTTAAGTAGTTCACAGCCATCAGTCTGTGTCTGCTGGGGTTTCTTGACTGTGATTGTGGAACCACTTATTGCTGTCTGACCCTTTGTTGTGATATAATTAATTCATAAGATCAAATAAAAACAGGGCATGCAGATATCAGCAGCTCATAATTTGCTATGGCAAAATATGCATCCTCTGCTAACTTGCACAAATAAACAGTTAATATGAATTACATTTTTCTGCATAACCAAAGTAGTTGTAAGAACTGCTGGTATGAGTTTTATATCAATTTGATCATATTTGATGAAAATAGAGGGGATGCAAATCTTGGCACGCTAGAAATCCATATTGCCAAAAAATGCACAACCTGCTAACTTGGAAATGACATTTTCTACATAATGACACTTGTTCCCTAAGTTCCCACTATAAGTTTCATATGAACAGGACAATAGACAGAGGATGCAATATTAGCAGGCTCAGAAATTAAAAACGCGTCTCCCCTACACTAATACACTAGACAGCTAAGCGTGATATAAAATGTTCTACGTAACTGGGCCTCGGTTTGTAAAGCTTTAAGCTCTTATGGTGTTAAAAGAAAAATCTTGGAATTTCAAAGCAGCTGCGGAGAACTTGTCATCACACTGAAAATATGTCTCAATAAACATGAAAAAATCTGTGTTTATTTCAATTAATTTGCAAAATAAAACCCACCATTTAGGGCTTACATGATTAATAAACGTGATAATGTTACGAATATCTATAAAAGTTTCCTCTTCGGTCGGATTTCAGCCCGTTTTCTCATCAATATGCGGCAGTTTAGAGCGATGCGGCGGAGCTACAGGGGACGCATTTCTCAGCATAACAGCAAACGCAACTACAGGTGAGCAGGTGCGTCACATCCCAGGTGTGACTCAGAGTGATAGTGGCGCTGCAGGTGTATGGACCAGGTGGTGTACCTTTGTGCTGCAGGTGCTGCCGGTTGATGTGCAGCAGGATGCGGCTGTAGCAGCAGCTCATCAGCAGCAGCGGGACGACGTACAGCGTGACGAAGTGGAACATGTTGTAGAGCGTCTCCTGCCAGCGGCCAGCGAAGCTGCCGTGGGACGCGCACTGCGTGAAGTCAGCGGCATCCAGACGGATGGTTCTGAAGAGGAAGAGCTGCAGCACAAAACAGAGTGAGAAAGAGCTGCAGCACAAAGAGCTGGCTCAGCGTTTCCTGCCAGGAACCAGCAGCGTGTTTCTCTAATCCTCTGAACATTCCAGCAGGGATTTTCCGTCGCATGGTTTCTTGCAGCTCGTTTTCTCACTGCAGGAACGCGGTCATGTGACCCGCTCATTATATATTCATGTACAGCGTGCTGTGATGGCGCAAGGGTTAGCACACTCGACGCGGACGTCGCAGGTTCGACTCCCGGGCCCGGCGACCTTTGCCCCCTCTCCTTGCCCTCTTTACTGTCAGTCTACTGTCAAAAAATGCGAGCCATTTGCGCCACAAAAACTCTTTGGAGAAAAAAAAAAACGTTTCCTGCAAAACACAGGACCAGTGAGAGCAGCATCACATGATGGCGCTGCGGCCCACACCTGTTCTAATCTGATCAAGCTTATCAGACCAATCCAATGACAGCAGCAGTTTCCATGAGTTTGTTTCTAGTCTCAGCGATTTGGACTTAAAATGAGGAAACAAAAAACATTTCTGTTCATGTTCTGCTTCAGCAGGTGAGAAATGAGACGTTGCAACCTTTCAGACGTAACTTTTGGTTCACAGTAAAACATTCACAATTTGCACAATGAAATAAGTGCTGCAGCATTAGATCTTGTGAAATATTGAATTCCACAGTTTTCTCACTTCTCCAGTGGCTGAACTGTCGATGCTCCGTCTGCTTCCTGCTGTGACTTTATGTGCATCAGCTGCTGCAAACCTGCCACTTCAAGACATCTCTGGATGATGCTCTGATATGATTCATTAAAACTAAATCCTCTTTCACAATCAGCACTGGATGCTTGAAATGTAGCACATTATCTGCGAGCTGTCAGATACTCCTGTGTCCTGCAGCCTCCATATCTGAGAATGTGCTGACTGACCCGTTTATGTCCTTCACTTCATCCTTCTTTGGCAGAAATGTCTGCTGATCCATAATCAAAACCCAAACCCTAAGCCGGACGGGTGGAGGGCGGTGTCCTGCCCAAGGGGACGAGGTCAAGGATCTGGTCCATGAATGAGGGAAGGAGGAAGCGGAGACCGACAGGCGGACGGCGCCGGACCGGTCCGTCCTGGTGAAGAGAGCCGAGCCAGAAAGCGAAGCTCTCGATTCATCAGTCGATCTACGTTCCGACCATCATCATGAGCTTTGGGTCACGGCAGAGAACCAGGTCATGGATACAAGCGACCCAGATGGGTTTCCTCCACCGGGTGGCTGGGCTCTCCCTCAGAGAGAAGCTCAGAGAGGAGCCGCCGCTCCTCCACCTGGAGAGGAACCAGCTGAGGCTCAGGCTCCTGGTCGGGATGGAGGCTCCCTGTGAGGAGTTCAGGTCCCACAGGGGACAGGAAGACCGCAACCTGCTGGAGGGACGATGGTCCCGGCTGGCCTGGGAACGCCGTGGGATTCCCATTTGCTTAGACATGATAAGCTGTTAGTTTTTACATCTCTTCACTCCGCCGGACTATTCTTATCTAGCTGACCTGCACGGTGTGTGATGCTGCAAACACAATGCATGGCGATGCATCCCTGACCTTCAGTCGCTACAGCAGGGGAGGGAATCTGATTTCCATTCAGGAAGACCAGAGTCAGGCAGAGAATGAGTTTCCTGTCCAGGTGAGACAAACAAGTGGACGGCAACCTAAGACTAAAGCGAATCGTGCCTGAACAGGACGATGATTTCCACCTGGTGAACCTACCTGTGGGGAGGCCAGCAGCAGGCTCAGAGTCCAGGCCAGCAGCAGCATGCAGCGGTTCCTGCGGTGTGCGCTCAGAGCGTCCAGCGGTGCAGGATGGCGTAATGGCGGTCCAGGCTGATGACGACCAGGATGAAGGCGGCGGCGTGCATGGCGAACAGCTTCAGGAAGCACAGCAGTTTGCAGAGCGCCTCGCCGCCGTACCACTGCACCGTGATGTTCCACGCCGCATCCAGAGGCATCACCACAAACGTCATCATCAGGTCTGCCGCCGCCAGGCTCAGCATCAACGGCCGCAGGTGAGACGACAGCCGGCGGCCGCGGCCGCACCAGACGCTGGCCAGCAGCGCCAAGTTGCTGCAGGCGGCAAACAGGAAGAGCACTGAGGTGGCGCCGACCCGGAACTGAGCAGCTCGGGTGAAACTGGGAGGCTCCCAGTCGGTGAGGGGAGGATACTGGGAGACGTTGAGAGGAGGTGGAGGAGACGCACTGGTGGGTGGAGCCAGAGATGACACGTTTCCTGACATCCTGAGGAGGAGGGGAAGAAGAGCGGAGTGAGCTCAGACAGCAGGTCCACTCGGAGCCACACCCGGTTCTGGTGGTTCTGACGGGCCGCCTGTTCTGATGGAGGCAGAATCACCTGCTGAGCTGTGATTGGACACTTTAGAGCAGCTGTTCTCTGCCGTCTCACCTGCAGTCGGAGGTCCATCAGAACCTTCTGTCCACTTCCTGTCCTCACAAGGTCCGGTCCAGATAACGATCTGAGGGTTTCCATGGTAACACCTTCTCACCTCTCAGGAGAAGTCAGGCGATGATGATGATGATGATGATGATGATGATGGCAGCACCTTCACTAGATCCTGGTTCCATTCATCTCCTGCTGCTGATCTGACACCAGATCCATCCAGACGGGACGCAGCAGTGGCGCCGCCGCCGCGCTGCGGCCGCGCCGCGCTCCGGCCGCGCTGCCGCCGCGCCGCGCTGCCGCCGCGCGCGCCGCGCTGCCGCAGTCAGATCAGCTTCAGCCTGACGCTATTTTTAGCCGCTCTGTGTTCACGGTGTCGCCGTGGCAACCTGCTCCAACTTCTCTGATGGACTGTGGAGCCGCGTCCAGATTGTAAACGGACCGAAACATTTTAATCCAGATGTTTGTTTCACTTTCTTCCACTTTTACCAACAGAACCGTCAGAACTCGACCGTCAAACTGAAGAATCAAACCTGATGCTTAGAGACTAACTGCTCACACACATCCGACAGACAGTACAGAACATCAACCTGGTAGTTCTGATCACCTGGTGAACAGAACTACCAGAACCGCCTGAATTCCATCACTCAGAGACTCGGCGTCATCTGGATGCTTTTATTGTGAAGGAGTTGGTGATTTACCTGCTCAGCAGTTCTGAGTCGGTTCTGCTCCTCAGGCCCGCGTCCGGTGTTCTGCTCCTCTCCTCCTCATGTTCCCCCAGAACTCCGACCCAAACAGAACCAGCAGAATCAGGTCCGGTCCAGATAACGATCCACAGCAGCTGATCCGAAACAGAGCATGAAAACTGGAGACCCGGAGCCTGCAGCAAGGGGCGGAGCCTGCAGCAAGGGGGCGGAGCCTGCAGCAAGGGGGCGGAGCCTCCAGCAAGGGGCGGAGCCTGCAGCAAGGGGGGAGCCTGCAGCAAGGGGGCGGAGCCTGCAGCAAGGGGGCGGAGCCTCCAGCAAGGGGCGGAGCCTGCAGCAAGGGGCGGAGCCTGCAGCAAGGGGGCGGAGCCTGCAGCAAGGGGGCGGAGCCTCCAGCAAGGGGCGGAGCCTGCAGCAAGGGGGCGGAGCCTCCAGCAAGGGGGCGGAGCCTGCAGCAAGGGGGCGGAGCCTGCAGCAAGGGGCGGAGCCTGCAGCAAGGGGCGGAGCCTGCAGCAAGGGGCGGAGCCTGCAGCAATGGGCGGAGCTTGCAACAAGGGGGCGGAGCCTGCAGCTGCTGAGGGTTAATGTGTGTCAGTGTGTGTGTGTCAGTGTGTGTGTGTCAGTGTGTGTGTGTGTGTCAGTGTGTGTGTGTGTCAGTGTGTGTGTGTGTCAGTGTGTGTGTGTCAGTGTGTGTGTGTGTCAGTGTGTGTGTGTCAGTGTGTGTGTGTCAGTGTGTAAATCTGAATCTTTAAAAACATCCATTTGAGACGCAACAGGAAGAATTTATTGATGAAGCTCAATCTGTCCTCTTCCTCATCATCTTCCTCCTGCAGCGTCAGGTGTGAATGAATTAATATCAGGACCTTCTGGGTCCAGAACCTTCTGGGTCCAGAACCTTCTGGGTCCAGAACCTTCTGGTCCAGGAAGCTGCTGACGCTTCAGACTGTCAGCCTGAATCAGTCTGAGTCATTCTGGTTCCGGTTCTGATCCAGATCAGATTGGATTTAAAGTGTTTATCATGAATAGTTACTCCAGATTTAGCGTGAAATGAAACAAAATGAAATGTTTTCAGATCAAATTGCTTCCGATGTTTAAAATGTTCACAAACTCAAATTTGATCTGAAACAGGAAGTTCCTGAAAAGGTTCAAAGATCCGCGCTGATTGTAGAGACAGGTAGGTGGCGCTGTCTCCGGTGGTGTATTCCATCTTTAATGGGGAAAACGTTCTGCCAGCATCACAGCGCCCCCTGCTGGCCGACCTGCTTCTAGTTTTTAAAAATTCCACAGTGATTATAAAATAATATTTACAATAAATCACAATGCAATATTTTCTCTGACTCCCAGATTCAAACCCAGGTTACCAGGGTTACCAGGTTGCCAGGTTACCAGTGTTGCAGGTTGCCAGGGTTACCAGGTTGCCAGGTTACCAGTGTTGCCAGGTTACCAGGGTTACCAGGGTTACCAGGTTGCCAGGTTACCAGGGTTACCAGGGTTGCAGCAGGAAGCCATGATGATGCAGAGCTGATGAAGGTCTGACATCATCAGTCCATTGTCCAATCAGAGGGTTACATCAAAGAACAGAGGCGGGACCTCCAACTGGCCTCTGGTGACCCTGACTTCCTGAGATCACCTGAGCAGGTGGGGTTGGGCTCCACCTGCTCAGGTGAAGAAGCTTCACTGAAACACAAAGAGTTTGTTTCAATAATTCAAAAACTTTATTGTCCTTAAAAAACAGAACAATCAGCAGATGTGAGTTACCTGTCTGTGCTCACCTGGAAACAAACAGGTAGCTCTCACCTGCAGCTCCAGTCGACCTGCTGCTCAGGTGCAGCAGGGGGTAAAGTCCAGCCGACTCACCTTGCTGCAGCTCCTCTGGTGGTTCTGAGCTGAAACACAGACGGACTTTTCTACACCTGGACTTATCAGATGAACCAATGAAATGCTGTTATCTTACAGGTGTCGTCCAGGTGTGACTCCGCCCTCTGGATCAGCCACTGCCCGTCCACTTGAGCTCAACTCAGCTGCTGCACCTGAGCACAATCAGGTATAACCATAGCAACAAAAGACAGAAAATGATAAAGGTCAAACTGACCTGGAGACTCCGCCCTTTGCTCATCTAAATGCTGATTGGCTGCCAGACGTTGTGCCACGTCAAGCTTCCTGTGAGAACAGCAATGAGACCGAATGAGACGCTGAGCTCTGGGTTCCCTCATCCGCAGACACTCACCTGTCGTCCTGGTGACCAGGTGAGCTGTGGGGTTGGGGCAGATGTGGGCGGTGCCTGTCGGGGCGTGGCCTCTGAGGAGAGGAGAAGGAAAAAAATGGACTGATTTCTAACTATCAGATACCTGAAGCTGGGTGGGAGGAGTCAGGATGGGAGGTGCTGCAGGTGAGGTGCTGCAGGTGAGGTGCTGCAGGTGAGGTGCTGCAGGTGAGGTGCTGCAGGTGAGGTGCTGCAGGTGAGGTGCTGCAGGTGAGGTGCTGCAGGTGAGGTGCTGCACCCGTGTCGCAGTCAGACTGAGCTGCAGAGCTGCGGTCAGACGCTCCACCAGCCGGTCCTGAACTCCTTCAGCCTCCTGAGAACAACACCATGATCTGTGGGCCAATCTCTGATTGGCTCAACTTCTCCCATTCAGCAGATGGCTCAGATCTCAGGGTGACCTTTCACCTCCAGGTGTGCTACCTTGGATTGAGAGATCGCGTTCAGAGCCTGTTGTAGAGCTCAACAGCTTTCTGCAGCTTCTTCTGCCTCAGGTAACACTCAGCCAGACGCTCACACACCTGGACCTCAGCCAGGCGGTCGCCTGCACAGGTGGAGACACACAGGTAACACACCTGGTCCTTAACAAGCACAGGTTGTGTGCTAACATCTATTCTTTGTTGGCACACCTGGTCCTCGTTAGCACACCTTCTCTTGGTACCTGTGTCTCTGAATCCCTGTAGAGCCAGGATGAGCTCTCTGCTGCCTCCTGGTGATCCCCAGGTGACTGCAGGCGATGGCCAGGTTACTGAAACATCGAGCCTGATCACCACGGCAACCTTGAGAGCCTGCAGGTACACACACCTGAACGTCACACTGAGAACAGGTAAAGGTCAACGCCTGAGTTGAATGTTTCCATGGCTCACCGTAGAGCCGCGCCGCCTGCCGGTGCGGCTCCACCGCTGAGCTAAAGTCGCCTGCGCCGTTAAGCGCCGCTCCCAGATTGTGCAGGACTTTGGCCAGCAGGGGGGGGCGGTGAGCTGCCAGCTCCACGGCTCGCCGCAGCAGCTCACGCCTCCTGGAAGCACTGATGCGGCAGTAGGCCACGCCCACCGACAGGTACAGCTCACCTGGACAATGAGGGAGTTACTGACGGGCGCTGCAGGAAGTCTCAGCAGCCCCTAGGACCAGGAAGGGTGATTACCCAGAATGCTCAGGTCGCTGACACTGCTGCTCAAACTCAGACACTCTGTCAGCAGGCTGCTGATGTCATCATGGGTTGGACAGATCTGATTGGACCAGTGACTTCCTGCCTCTCTAAGGGCGGCGGCTGCAGAACCAACATGGAGGCCATTTTGTAACTCTGCTGCTCTGAGGAAAACTCTGCACCGCCTGGGGCCAGTCCTGCAGCAGACATGACACGAAACACCTGGAAACACCTGGAAACACCTGGAAACACCCGGAAAACACCTGGAAACACCTAGAAAACACCTGGAAACATCTAGAAAACATCTGGAAACACCTGGAAAACACCTAGAAAACACCTGGAAACACCTGGAAAACACCTGGAAACACCTAGAAAACACCTGGAAACATCTAGAAAACCCTGGAAACACCTGGAAAACACCTAGAAAACACCTGGAAAACACCTGGAATAATACCTAGAAAAAACCTGGAACCTAACTTACAAGAAAATTGGCATTCAGTTGGTTTTTCATTAGGTTGGATCCTGGTTCTGACCCGATTCTAATTCTGACCCGGTCCTGGTTCTGACCTGGGTTCTGCTGCAGCAGCGGCCCAGCTCCATGCAGGCGTCGCCTTCGCCACCTCCGTCACCCTGTGACCGGTAAAGCTGAGCGGCCCGCAGGAAGTGGGATGCGGCCTCCTGGTACTGCCCAAGTGCATTGTGGGCCAGCGCCGTGTTGAACTGCAAATCTGGGAGCCGCTCCGCTTTTGGACCGGGCTGGTTCCGGCGTAGGAGGTCCAGTCCTCTCTGAGGTCGGCCCGCCTCCACGTAGGCGGCGCCCAGGTTGAAGGAGCAGGCGCGCAAAACCTGAGAGTCCTGCAGCTGGACACACAGGGGCAGGATGGGAAATGGAGTTCTCACACCGCCAAAGGACTACAAACCGCTACACACCACCAGCTAATCTCACCTGTCTGACTCACCTGTGCAGCGGCCTGCAGGGCCTGCTTGAAGCAGCGCAGCGCGTCCTGCGGCCGGCCGGCCTGCAGCGCTCGGTGGCCGGCCCACGTCCGCTCCTCCACCTCTCCAGTCTGCTTCTGCTGCCTCCTGCTGCTCCTCTTCACCTGCTCCCTCACCTGGAGGAGACTCCTCGGAAGCCATGTTGGATCTGCAGCAGATGTGCTCACCTGGATGAGAGGAACAGATGTTTCACTCCTGGAATCTGATTCAGAACCAGAACCCAATCCAGGTCCGGTCCAAGCCTCCATGGGGCCCCAAGCCAAATGAGGTTTTGGGCCCTCTGGTTCTGCTAACAATGTGGACCGGCTGCAATCAGGAGTCCGATCATTAGATTGTTCAAACACCTGCTATAAACTTATTGCATCTCTGGCTGTTTACATTATATACATGTACAATAGATACATTTATTTGACCATCTGATTTATGGACCCGTTGATTTCTGGGAGCCGATTTCCTTCATTTTGGGGCATCGTGATCGGCCGATACTGACATGTGAAGCTGATCTGATGTCCATCATCCAGAGATGATGGACATCTCTGGATGTCATACCTGGTCTGTCAGTTGGACTGACAGACCAGGTCAGTCTCAACGTTTACAGCTAATATTCACTGTTAGCAACTCAGAGACTTTGCTGCTACATTCAGAAACATTTCAGACTCAATAAATTCATATGAGCCAAAATCAGCAGGTCAAAGGTCAGAACCAGGAATCGGCAGAAAACTGCAATCGCTGCAGAAACACATTCAATTCATTTCTCTTCAGCTCCAATAGCTAAAA